TAAGTTTCTAAACACATGCATATATATATATATATGGTTTTTAAAAAAATACCGGAGTGGGTTGGAAAGGGAGGGGGGGGGGAGTCTATGACATGCTGGGTTTTTTTTTCTTTTTTTGTTTGCAGCTTTATTGAACTAATACTTTGTAACAGGTATACTTGTATGTATGACAGAATATAAGCTACAAAAACAAGTACGAAGAACATGAACATTCTCTTTGTCTTTTAAGTATCGGTACAATTCTAGGACATACCCCTTAGCTGTAAGACACGATAAGTTTGAATTGAAGCTATTCTTCCTTTTGTGAAGAACTAGTCTTTTCCATAATGACCACGAGCCAAATTTCCTAGCCTTGAGTATGGATTTTAAGCAAATCTATAAAGTATATTGTGCATAGGTATGTACATGTATATTCACACATTATATGTAATTATTTCTCCGTCATTTTTTCAACAGGCTTTTCAGCAAACGTTTTTGTAGAGGCTGAAGTTGACGCCGAAAGGAATACAAGAAATCATCGACATAGATTTCGTCCGAATCTTCTATAACTTCCAGATATAAAGCTCTTATTTTATCAGGGATTTAATATATTCTTTTCATGATAGAGATTTTTAATTTGGAAGCTTTATGGAAAGAGCACATTGCAAGGACATTCACTCTTTTAACAAGTCACGTTGTTTTATCCGTTTTTCCTAATATTGAAAGGAATCCCTCGTCCTGTCAGTAAAACTGAATTCTGTTAAGTAGAACCTTTTGTAAATATCGCTTGCCCAACCCTTTTGTAAATACATATCGCTTGCCTTGCCCTACCCAAAGGTCGTACGCACATGTGTGAACAACTGTGAGACAACACAGACCAAAAGCTTGCACTTCTATTGTCTCTCATTGTGATTAAAGCGAAGGCCAAAGGTATTCACAGAAAAAAAATACTCAAACATACACCTACAATCATTTGATAACACATATTATTCATTTTACTCAAACGCAGCAACGTCTTAGAATATAGGACCTTTGTACTAGTACAGAAAAACATTCTAAAGTGTTTGAGCTATTTTTAAACCGGACAAGATCACACATTTCTATGCAGAGGGCCTCAAGTTCTCGGTACACTGAGATTGGAAAACAATGTTTTATGCAACGACGCATGTGTCATTTTGCTGAAGAGCAGGAAATTGAGCTGTGCCAAAAAATCTTTAACACATAATTTTTTTTTCTCTGGGCAATTTTGCCAGACACTATCCAAATAAACCTTAAAAACTCCATATTTTTCCGTTCATTGTGTTTTGAAACCGGGAGTGTGATTTTTGTAAATGCC